GTATGGTCCTAGTCACATGTGCCAGAGTTCCAGGAAGTAAAGTGAGACATATTAATCTGCCCTTAGTAACAATGGCCAGTGTGAGAAGAATGGGAAAGAAAAGAGAAAAAAGGTATGCAAAGAATACAAAGCCTGAAATTATCTAGATGTATGCGTTTGTAGATTGCCATTACTAAACATTTCTAAAGGTGTGTTTGTTATTTTAAACATATGGGTAAAATTCCTCTTTAAGATTTAAGAGCCCAATGCCTCAAACAACAGTGTAGCAAAACAGCTTGTCTTTCACAGACATAGACATTCTACAAAGATTTCCCTAATCACCAACAATTTGATGACATATTTGCATGAGAGTGGAAACAGGCCGACTTAGCCTTCTCTGCAAAGTCCTTCTCTACCCTCTTCCTGTTCCCTTAAGAGCTGGTCCATCTGTGGTCACCTCAACAAGGTGGCAATGATCACTTTTGCAGGCTTTGCAAAAAGTGAGTGGGCAAACAAAAGGGCAACATTCAAAGGCAACTTTGAAAATATACACATGACATAACTAATAGCATTACGTGGTGTTACGAAGCAGAACAATTTTCATGGACACTCTCAGTGACAGCATACACTGGCAGTGCATATATGGGTCGAATTGATTTTTTTTTTCTTTTACAATTAGCTCACTTTACTTTTAAAAATAGCCACAGCGTTGACTAGCAGATAGAAATTGGTCAGTAATATGTGTAGTGGCCATTTTTATCATGCTATAATTAAAAATGAAGAGACCACAGATAATACAGCAGTGTAAAGGAAGTTCAAGGCAGAAATGTCATAAAGACAAAAGTATAGGCAGTTGTTTTAGTACAAGAATTAAGAGGCTGCAGATGGCAGAGCAGTGTAAAATTGGCCAGCAGGCAGGACACCTTTAATGGGCAAGGCTTGACCCCAAATTTACTAGAGAAAATAGGACAGGTCGGGGCTTTATTACAAGCATACGGATACTTCAAAGGATACAGCAGTGTAAAATTGCCTAGTAGCAGAATGGTTTAATCGGAAATAATAGGGCCAAAATGAACTAGATACAAAGTGTACAGGCAGGTGTTCTACTACAGGCATTAAGAGACTGCAGATGATACGATAGTGTAAAATTGGCCAGCAGCAGGATGGTTTTAATCAGGAATAATAAGCCTAACTAGTGTATTCCTTTTATTTTACAACCCCAATTCCCAAAAAGTTGGAACGCTGTGTAAAATCTATATAAAAACAGAATGCAATAATTTGTATATCTCATAAACTCATATTTTATTCACAATAGAAAATAGAAAACTATATTTAAACTGAGTAAATGTACCATTTTAAGAAAAAAAAAGTAATTTTGAAATTGATGGCAGCAACAAGTCTCAAAAACGTTGGGATTAGGTTGAACTTGATGGACTTGTGTCTTTTTTGGAACCTGAATAACTATGTAACTATGTAAAAGGTCCTGTAACCCAAAAGGGTGAAACTACCTTTTGTCCTCACAGCTGCTCACAGGAGAAAATAAATCTAAATCCTTCCACTATACTTTCAAGCCCGCGTTTTAGTCCAGACAGAGCCCAACAAACCTTTTTTGGCTTTTTAACTCTGCACCTCTGCTCTACCACTCAGCTCTGCACCCATCCTACACTGCTTACCTCTGCACTCCTCATCCATCGCTCACCTCTCCACCCCACTTTCACCAGAAGTCACTAGTTTGCAGTGATTACCTCCAAAGGCTGTGCAACAAAATATTAGGTTAAGGGTTCCAACACTTTTGTTCATAACGTTTTCATTTGTTTTGCATTTTTACATATTTTAAAGAATCAAAATTCAAAAGCAAAGTCTGATTTCTATTAAATATGGAATAAACAATGATGAATGCCAATTGTTTGGTCAGTTTGAAGTTGGTTATGCTTTTCAAGTGGGTTCTTCTTTTTCGTGGGAGGGTACCAACAAATTTGTCCACATCTGTATGTGATGCTGCAGACATGAATATTCTGCTTGTGAAGGCAGGAAGCTCAATAAATGTTGCCGAAGGAGAAAACAAGTAGGCATTTAGTAAAAAAAGTAGAGAAAAGTGCTAGTGGTGTATTCCTTTAAAACAGAGATATTCACATTCACTAAGTAAATTAGTAAAACTACAGTGAGACTGTATGTTCTTGGAGAAAACCTGCCACAGCAAATTATTGTGCTGAAGTTTCTCCAAATTGAATCAGCTGGTTTTATTTCTGCCATCTCTCTGTTACGAATGATGCACTTTCTTGCTCTGTATTTCTATACAAATTTAATTGCAGGCCACGGGGAAGCATGATCTCGCTTCTAACCTTCATTTTAATGATGCAAGGATCTTTTTTAATTAAAGGCATTAAGCCTTTCTTCCTTCTAAAGGCTTTAAAAGCTTGGATCTCTGAACCATTAAGCCTTCATATAAGTATAGATGCTTTTCAGGACATTTATTGAAAGAAACATAGCTATCTAGAAACCTTTTTAATTATTTCATGTTAATCTTTTCTGCAAAAAAATGCAAGTGTAGTATCCTGTGTATCACCTTATCTTGTGTTACATTACTTCGATGTAGTTAAAGAGAAGTTTCCAGGTAGTTTTATTTATTTCAGCGTTATTTTTTTTCTATATACTGTAGCAGCAATACATTGTGTGATCTCAGGTAATGGTGTTAGAAAAGTGTAGCTTACATTTGAAATATGGTGACACAAATGAATGCAGCTCTGTATTTGGTCATACATCTTTACAGCCTGTGCAGCAGAGCTCAGGCTGGGGGAGGCAGAAGAAGCACAACGGGCCACTTTTGCTGTAGTGTAAGAAGCTTGCTGAGAGTGGGCAAAGTGACTGAGAGATGAAGTCCTCACTGTGCTGCTTCTCCTTTTACTGTCCAGTCACAGTAAAGTAGGGATGCACCAATACCGGTATTTCGGTATCAAGTACGAGTAACGATATTTTTTTCCCGATACCGGAAGTCCCATTAAGGAAGCCAGGCAGCGTGTAATGACTCGCCACCTGGCTTCCTGATTAACCAAGAAGCCGGACGGCGTGTAAAGACTCGCCACCCAGCTTCCCGATTAGCAGGGAAGCTATCCCCATGCTTCTCGTCACTATGTGACAAGTAAGCATGGAGCCAGCTTTCTGGCCAATCAGGAAGCCAGGCGCCGCGTAATGACGCAGCGCCCGGCTTCCTGATTGGCAAGGGAAGCCGGCTTCATGCTCCCTCCTCATGAGGGAGCATGGAGGAAGCCGGGCAGTGTGTAATGACACGCTGCCCGGCTTCCTGATACAGGAAGTATCGGGTTAGGCATTGGAGCATTTGGGCAAGTATGAGTACTCGCCCAAATTCTCAGCATCGGCACCGATACTAGTATCGGTATCGGTGCATCCCTACAGTAAAGTATTTCAATTTCTAATATACAAGTAAAAAGAGGTTTGTGTCTATATTTTATCTAGGATGTTAATAGTTTGTGTAGCGCTCACCCCCGAAAGAGCCCCTGAATAACCAGGTATTTCTATCCCCCTACACCAATGTACCGCCCAAATGTGGATCCACAGCACACCAACACATCTTTGATTGATCTATAGCAACTTCACTGACAAATTCAGATATGAATAATTATAATACAATAATCACCACAACAATCTCAAACAGAATGTGTAGCAACAGGCTAAGGCACTCATGAAACTCAGTAACCGCATCTATCTGCTGTCAGCACTGATGTATGCGAGACCAATTGTCTTTAAACATCCTCCCTTGAATGGGGTGTATGTCCCTTTAAGGTTTCCCTTTGGCCATGCCCAACCCTTCCTAGACTACTGGCCAGTAGTGGTGTCCTAAGCTTGCCGGTGTTGGGGCCCTTACTGTAGTGCAGGTATGGACAGCAAACAGGTTGTAAATGTGGCCAAAGGCCTCTCACCAATCCTCAGGTCAGTTGGAAAAGATGAAGGCTGATAGCAGAAGCTGGACGTCCTCTCTCTCTCTCTCTTCAGCTCAGGCGAAGTAGGGGAAGTCGTCTGTGTCCCTAGTAGGAGGCCTTCACTCATCCAGGATGTTTGCAGTCATCTCGGTTGGCTCCGTCTGGCTCTCTCTCTCTCTGGGATGGCTCGACCACCCCGGCGGCTGGTTCGGCCGTGTGACTAGGCCATGATACCCCCGCCGCTGCCGCATCACTAGGCCTCAGTTCGGGCACTCGAACACAGTCTCTCTGGTCCAGCAGATGAACATCGGTCCTTCAGAGTGCTGCTGTACAGATTCTGTGTGTCCCAATCTGTCAGTGGCAATCACACAGCTCTGTTGCATGCAGTCTTAATTCACACAGTGCTACACACAGGGCTGTCCTCTCCAGTTCCCCTAGTCAGACTGGGCATGCTCAGTAACTGCAGTTCCTAGCCCTCCTCCTTCCTGTAGCACAGCATCCTGGGAGTGGTAGTTCCCAAGAGCTCTATTAGCAATGTTCCAGTGTCAGCTCTGCACTGCAATCCCCACAAGTCTCCGCCTCATATCACACACAGAGACAAGTTAACCCTTTACAGTCAGAAACACAAATCTCTATAATAGCACATATCTACAGTACATCTATATAGGGGCTACATCTGTTTTAAAGCTTGACAACAAAACTCACAAGTTATCTTTGAAGCTACTATCATTCAGTCTTAACATTACCTATACTGGTATCAATATGGAAGCTGCTATTGGTGACCTTCATCTGCAAACTTTAGTTGCTTGGCTGTCTTTGCTATTAATACTTTCTAAAACACACTGACCCAGAATACATATGCAGAATAGGAGGTTGAAGTCAGAATTCTTGCTATGCTTACTTGTATTCTGATCAGTATTGTAGAAACTATTGAAGCCATTGGATTTAAATAGTTAACAGAAAAGTCATTTTTTCAGAAGTGACGATCAACAATGACATACTTTCACAGTACCGGTTTCCTTTAATTGTGTTTTGTGGAAAGATTTTACCTTAAAATACTTAACATTAACCTTTCGTCTACAGCGTCAACTACAGTGGAATGTGCGTGGCATCTGATGGTCAGTTTGGTGATTTCCTTTCTGGCATGGGCCCAGCTCAGTTTGTTGGCCGGCAGACACTAGCGACCACATCAATGGGTAAGTGATGCTGACTGCAGGAATCTATGTTTATTGTATAGTGCTCTACATTATCTTTGTGTTAGATGGGCTGGAAATTGATCATTGTCTACGGGTACTAGCAAAACCCTCAACAGGGAAGTAGTCTTTTAGCTACGGTTGATTTTTGGCTTATAGCATTTCGTAATCTTATGATTAGGCCAAAGAGAACTACAGGCAAACAGCGATGATGTGTTTGAAATACATATATGGGATCTGTTCTACCTGCCAGAGAATTTGTCACTCTGTTCAGCCAGTCTTGTCATTCACACACCTCTGCAAACTTTTGCAAATTACACCACTATGTTCTATGTATGATTTGCAGATTTATCTGTCACTTGCCTGTTCCTTGACCAAGGAACAGAATCACTACACTAGTGATTTTTTATCCAGCAAATAGGCAGGCAACAAAGAAAGCTCCAAAACTGTAATGCATTGTGGAAGATGTCTTTGAATCACAAAACTAGCTGGGTGGAATTCACATACAGTAACTGTATTTTAACAATGCATTTAGCAGTTTGTCTGCGAGCACTGTAAATCAAGCTTGCTCTTTTTCTCCTTAACATTTTACATTTTTCTCCTTTATATTGTTGATTATGAACATAGTAAGCAAGAATTACTATCTGTAAGAGAAATCAGTCTGTAAGAGAATATCAATCTGCATCTAAATAAATAAGTATTTCCTATACTTCTGGAAAACCTAAAGGCCCCCACATTTTCTTGGGAAATCAAACAAACAGTCCACTGTTTTTTTACAATTTTGTGAATGTGATCCACTTACAAAATTGGACATAAGATGGCATGATGTCTTGGGTTAAAAGAGATACAGAGATTTTGCACACCACAACTTTTTATTACTAAACAGGATATATAACATATGATTCCATTTTTTTTTCTAAGGGGATGTTGAAGTTGGACTGTTGGAAAGAAATGGACAACTTGAAGTAGAAATCATTCAAGCGCGAGGTCTAACGGCTAAGGCTGGTTCTAAGACACCACCAGGTATGTTGACAGATCTACATTTTACTTATGAGGAGACTTACAAAGATAGGTAACACTGAGTGACCAATGTGGGATCAGGCTGGTGCACCCACCATTACTCTCCACAAAGATATTCATGAGTAGGTGACAGGACTTCAGCTTTATACGCAACTTCACCTCCCTGACCCTATGCCAGTGTAGGGGAACATCATCCAGTTTTCTAAACAGGCCACTGCTATCCTCTTTCCCCTTCCTCTTCTTGCACCTAGATTTTTGTTGTTGTTGTAGGCCATAATATACACTGTAGTTACTTAAAAGGCATCTAGGACTGGAGCATCTCCTTAGTTAGAGGGTCATCAGAATCCTAAAATGTTTTACTGGCTCCTACAGCTCTAAATTTCTGAATTACAATCAAAAGGTAATTTTTATACTTAAACAATCGATATAACAAGATGCTTTCAAAGTCATATTTAACAGACCAAAAGAGCAAATAAGAGAAGTTCATAGTTAGAATTTCACTTTAGGAAATGCAGTACTACATGTGCATGTTTGTTCTCATGACTATTAAAGCTCTATCACCATACATGCATCTTGGCACAGTGATATTTTCCTACAGTAAAACTACAGTTATGTTGAGAAAAACAAACTTCTCTGGGTTGATCTACATAACAAGGATTTTAGCAAACCTTATTGCAGATTTGTTACTTGCTTCTTTTCTATAGATACTATGACAGGCCTTTGTAGTAACTTCTTCAGACTGAGTGCTAAGTGGTAAGGACAACCTTCCTGCTATAATGACAGATTCAGTCCCAGTGCTATACTAAGAGAGTCAATGCATTCTCAGCACTTCGGTAGATGTATTTCCAGAATCTCACCAAAGATCATAGACTGACTGTTTAAGGGCAGTGCTAGTGATGTTTGAAATTTGACGTCACACACTTTGTAGACATCTGGCAAATAAGATTTCTGGAGCTTCAAAAACAGTTGTGCTTGAAACAGTCATCCAGCCACGGTGCAATAAAGGTTTATTTGTTTTATTTTTTTAGCTGACTACACACTGTATTGTAAAAGTTTAATAACATATTACAATATATAAGTCAATCCAATCTGAAAACATTTTTTTTTATTTGAAAGTGTAAGTCCACACAAACCAAATTATTCAGTGTGCAGTCTCCTCACCCCTTCTCTTGGTAAAGGTCTCTAAGACACTTGCTTGGAGCTTTTCCCTTCTGTGATCCTCAATGTCCAGCTGCAGCCATATCACACATCATTTATTGAATGTTGAGCAATAGGGATACCTGCCATAGCTGGAATCTCCATGTGTAGTGTATTCCTGTGTAGTGTCCAAAAAGGGTATATGATGTTGTGCATCATCCAGGGGCGTCCCGAGGCTGGGTGTCACCCGGAGCGGAGACCGGGTGACACCCCGCAGTGACGTCATCGCACATGCACGTGACATTGCCGCGCAGTTGTCTTTTTGATGCCTGCCGGCGGCCAACTTGGTGATGGACGCCGTCAGAGAGAGGAGGGGACGTTCACCCAGCAGGATGAGGTATGCCGCCGGGTCCCCTCCTCTCTCCTGACACTGTTGGGCTCTCGGTCTGTGACAGAGTGCCCGACTTTTCATAGGTGGGGACACCAAAATAACTGTCAGTCATTTTGGTGTCACCCCTCCAAATGTGACACCCGGGTGTGGGCCGCACCCCCCTTGTGACGCCACTGGCGTCACCTGCACTCCATACAAAGTTATGACCTTGCAAGACAGTGGTGCTCGCAGTGAGGACATGGATGGTGCGGTGTGGAACTCCAAGGTGAGAATCAAGTCGTTTACAGCACACATGAGGTAGAATCATAAATCCTTGTTCAATGTATTGTATCATCATCATCACAATTTGTCATAAAATGCCAATGTTTAGGGACCACGCAGGGTCCCTTCTTCAGGGCGACGTAATAATACTTTAGTAACATAGCACACACATATGTATACAAAGTAAATACCAAATGCAGAAGATATGGTACTCAGTCCCCGGTATAGTTATGACTGCGGCAGCAGCAGCGGCAGACACTGAGATAGTGATGTTCTGCCAACAAGACTGGTGGGTGGGCCTGCTTTGTTCATGCATGTGCAGTCCCTGTAGATCCCTGTGGCTGAGGACAGGATAGGCTGCACTGCCCCGCTCCTCCCACGCTACTAAGTTACCATGGCAATGAGGGGCACTGCAATATCAGTATAAAGGGTGGCTGTCCATCAGTATTCACAGTAACGGGACTATTTGCTCACTTTTGTTGCCAGCGGTTTAGACATTAATGGCTGTGTGTTGAGTTATTTTGAGGGGACAACAAATATACACTGATATACAAGCTGTAAACACACTACTTTACATTGTAGCAAAGTGTAATTTCTTCAGTGTCGTCATATGAAATGATATAATAAAATATTTACAAAAATGTGAGGGGTGTACTCACTTCTGTGAGATACTGTGTATATATATATATACACACACAGTATATATATATATATAATGTTATTGAAGTGTCAAGTGCAGGGCCCCAAAATGTTGGCATTTTAGGACAAATTGTGACAATGATACAAAAAATTGGAAAAGGATTTATGATTCTACCTTGTGTGTGCTGGTGATTACCTGATTTTCACCAAAAAAAGATATCCGACACAGGCTGGAGCACTGCTTGGCATAAGGCCATTCTTTCATATATATATATATGTTAGAACGTTCACTGAAAGATATCCACTCTCACCCATTATGCCAGGATGACAGCAAATAATGAAAGAACAGCTCACATGCGGCAAGACATTCAGCCTGTATCTGTTAGGAGCTTTAGGTCCCTGAAGCATTAAGTTAAATGGAAAATAAATTATTCATCAAATTTCTGATTTTTCGTCAAATAATTGCAACGCTAGAGATTATTAGGCTTGCAGCGCCAGGTTATTATTGGATATTGAACAAGCACTGAAGCTGCATTCAGATGTTTTTTTGTTTTTTTTTCAAATAACAGAGTATAATTCAGCTAGAAAAAATGTACAAAACACTGATGGTAGTTTAATGAAAATAGTTAATATCCTATAAATCTTAGCTGAAATGCAATGCTTGGTACACTAAACATGATTTATTTCATAAGACCCTGTTTACAGTGTAGTTACACAAAATCAGACCACTACATTTATTTTCTTTTATTCTTTTACACTTTTAACTTTATATTTACAAACTTGTGATATTGTATATATGTTTTTGCTAATCATACAAAAACATTTTTTTATAAAAATATAATACTTTGTGCACCAATGATAATAGTCTCATAGAGAAGTTAAGGTTTTGTAAAGAAAGAGGGCACAGCATTAAATTGACTATACTAAAATTTGCCAAAAGCTCTTCTTTCAAAGAAAAGAGGTTAATACTTACTTCTCATGCTGCCTGTTCTGATGACCGCTGTTCCATTGAAAATAAATCTTCATCTGAAGTCTGCTGAGAAGCCATCACTACTTGTTTTTTAGATATCCTGTAGATAACCATATTGTGTCCTGTATTGATTATGTCAGAAGGCGGAACCACAGAGCGCTCCAGGAGACCAGGAGATTAAGGGAGTAGGGCGGGAGGTGGGATAGGTCAATCGTCCAACTCATTTAGCTGTGTATAATCTAAGCATCAGCTAATCAGGTCTGTAAATGGCTTATTTTTTCAGCTAAATAGATAAGGATTGCCTGGTTAATATATGAGACAAAGCATAGAGCTCTGCCTGCGGTCTTAAAAACATAAATATGTAGCATACCTATGCAATGTTATATATTATTTAAAAAAAGTTTGAGGGTGGGGAAGCCCTGAATCTTCTTGGTTTCCTAGGAAACAGAACCTATAGTTTAGGGTTTTATTTAGAACCATACCCACTGGTAAGTCTGAAATTGTGAAGTGTGCAATCAGTTATGGGAATCATTTTCTACACATCTCGAATATATATACATCCCTTTATTTATAGTATAGTATATGTAGTTTTTTTTATTTTTTGCAGTACCAGTTTGATTTTATAGTAAGGGTGCTTCCCAGTATCAACTGTTTGAAAATCGTGTTAAACTGTATGACTCTGTATACACTGGTACCTAGCAAAGTGTAACATTCACTTTTTGAGACTATAAAATGAATTTGGACTGCAGCCTAGTGCCACTTTAAAAGCTCCCCTGGCACGCACCCAAAGAAAGCAGTTAATGTATAGTGAGAAGTTCATTTTAGATGCTCAAGAAAACTGGCGCTACGTAGTTAAACTTTGATGTCAGGTCTTAACAGAGCTATCAAGAATGCTTGTTCCCCTGAGAGCAATTGACACTTAGCCAAACAGTTCTCTTAACATTCAGTGCTTGCCCGCATAGACAACAGTAAAGATATCCTTTAGACACATAGGTCACAGATATGTGCCACAAAGTTTCCATCCCTCAATGGTACAAATAATATGCCATTAGATGGGACCATGAGTGTGACTGTAAGTATCCATGTTCTACAGCACCACCCATAGTGCTATATTGATTGTGACATTGTGGATGCCCAGCTGCCAATGCAACTATATCAATCCAGCACCACAATAATATGTTTATTATATAAATTATTATGAATAATGGTCATTGCCACAGTAAGCATGTCTGTGACCCCCAGTGACTAAACACATTTCTATAGTATTTATACCCATGGAACTGTTACTATTGTTTTGTCCAGGAAAGGCCATAGCACACCATAAGCATTACTACAACATACATTTGTCATGACACAGCTAGCTAATACTGAATCTGAATGAGGAGGCAGTTGCAACCATATTTTAACAGTAACTCCAATCAATGTGATACTTACGTAACACAGATGAAAACAAATTGATGAATATAGATCAGATTTACAACCGAATTCACATTAGTAAGTATCCCTTCTAGTCAGTATTAGTTGGAAGCAACATGGAGGTTCTTGCGAGGTCAGGCTCGCCGTTTGTCTACCCCTAATCCATGTGTCAGTAATGATTAAGGTGACATTGATTAACCACCTGTTAGCAAGTAGGATATAATGAAAATTTTGTCTGTGAAGAAACCTAGAGAATGAATACTACTTTGCCTTTAACAGAAAATCAATCAATAAATTAATAGAACTGTTAGAGCTGAGAGGCCACAGTCGTTCATTTCAGCTAAACGATTTACCAAAGGTGATGAAAACAATTGAACCCATGTTAATGGGGAATAGAAATTATATATATATATATATGTG